TTTTTTTTTCAACAATTACTTGATTTTGAAATAAAAGTTTACCAAACACTTATCATATTATTCCTACATCTGATTATTTCTTTAGCACAACTACAGATTATTCTCTTAAAATCACAGTAATATCAAATTGTGCCTATATAAATGTGATAGATATTGAACACTTTTTGAATTTGTAGCAGTGAAAATTATATGGAGATGGAATCACTTACTTATGAAGATACTATTTAATGGGTACTGAATACGCCTTTGATGATATAATGGGTACTGAATACGCCGTCGATGATAATCATAATTCAGATTATAGCTATGTTTTACAATTTATTTTATCAAACAAGATATTAAAGTAACAATAACCTTAAAATTAATTACTCTCTACAATATGAAAACGTACTTCATATGTGATGTTTGGATTGCAAAAATCAATGTTCTAAAAAGTGTAAAATGTCATTAGACAACAAGATCAAGTTTCAAGCTTTTGCAAGTTTTAGTGAAACTTAGGCTTAAAAAAAACGTAAAATTTAACTTGGTAGTAAGATCAAACTTCTCGCCATAGCACAACAACAACAACAAAAAAAAAAAAATGAGAATGAGTGATTTCAATTTGAGTGCGAAGAAATAATGCAAACCAATTTTAGATTCATCTTTTGAGAAAGAGCTCAATTGATAAAATTGTTGTCAAGTGAAAAATTCCTGATCACTATGAAAGTATGAAACTTTTTGTCTATTCAGATAATTTTCATATTACTTGAGCCTTAAAAAAATTTAAATAAAATCATTATCTCATTTAGCGTTGGGATTGAAATTGTTTACTAATTAAGTGATATTTTAAATTTATCCAATATTTACTTACTATTTTTAGAACGTGAATTTAATTTATATATCAACAAAAGTAACTTTTAAAAGCGTCTACATATCATCGTAAATAGGGAGTCAGGAAAGTAACTCAGTGTGGACACAATTTATCGATACTGAACGTCGGTTCACAAATAATCATCCTCAGACGAAGCAAAATAAGTCCTACCACGCAAATCCAACCCAATACTACTAGCACTAGAATTAAACTCAACCCCACCAACGACAAGTTCTCCCTTCGGCACCATATTGAACCCGTTCGGTCTATCCGGTTCAAGACTGAGCATTGAAGCCCCTGCTGTATAGGATGAAGCTGACGCGGTGCCATAAACGCGTGGGTCATAGAGATTAGTCAGTTGGGTGCTATTAATCTAGAGTGTCTGTATGATGAAATGGATGGTGGTGGTGAGAAGTGGCACTGGTTGTAAAATGGGGATTAAGGTTAATAAAACTAGCCATTTCAGCGGCGTTTTGGGTAGCAGAGTAATAGTCGAAAACCTGACGGTTCTGGTTCGATTCTCGAACAGTTCCTTTACTGGAAAGCATTATTGTTGATGGATTCGCCCATTCATATTCCAACATCGCCACCACAAA